AAGGAAAAAAAAAAAAAACAAATCTAAGGAAATACAAGCCAAAAATTTCCCATTTACAATAATCAAAGGAAAGAGGGACCCAACGTGATCTCAAAATCCCAAGTAAGGACTTTCCGTCGAGGCAGGCTTCTGAGCATGGAATCCCAGCACGGGTTGGGGGCTGGACCGGACCCCAGCCTGCCCAGGCTGACCCGCGGCCGCTCTCGCCGACTCCAGCGCGGGGACTGTTCTCATCGTCCTGGAGCAAAGATGAAATCCAGAGCCTGCCGTTCGGCCGCTGCCACGTTGGGGTGCCACAAATCCACCATGAAAACCACCCGCGGGCCATCCTCTGCCGAACCTGGGGAGGGGAGGGCGCGAGAGAGGAGAGGTCTGAACCGTCCCAGAGCCAGGAGCCGCGCAGCGCGGGACCGCACACAGTGAGCTTGCGGGCAGGGACCCATCCTGTCCCTTGGCATAGGCGGGAAGATCACCTCCTTTCTCAACAAGGACTCTAGCACGGCTCCATACGGCTCTGGGCAGAGCGTATAAAGGGAAGCGGGCACAGGGAGGTAGGGGTGAGTACGAGGTAGGTGGAGCACAGAGGACTTTTAGGGCAGCGAGGCTATTCTGTGGGATCCTGTCACGGTGGATACATGTCACCATACATCTGGCAGAACCCACAGGACGTGTGACAGGAAGAGTGAACCCTAACGGAGACTGGAGAGTCTGATTAATAACAATGTGTCAGGGCGCCTGGGTGGCTCAGTCGGCTGAGCCTCCGACGTTGGCTCAGGTCATGATCTCGAGGTCTGTGAGTTCAAACCCCGCATCAGGCTCTGTGCTGACAGCTCAGAGCCTGGAGCCTGCTTCGGATTCTGTGTCTCCCTCTCTCTCTGCCCCTCCCCTGCTCATGCTTTGTGTCTCTCTCTCTCTCTCTCTGTCAAAAATATCCATTAAAGGGGCGCCTGGGTGGCGCAGTTGGTTAAGCGTCCGACTTCAGCCAGGTCACGATCTCGCGGTCCGTGAGTTCGAGCCCCGCGTCGGGCTCTGGGCGGATGGCTCAGAGCCTGGAGCCTGTTTCCGATTCTGTGTCTCCCTCTCTGTCTGCTCCTCCCCCGTTCATGCTCTGTCTCTCTCTGTCCCCAAAATAAATAAAAACGTTGAAAAATATCCATTAAAAAAGATAATAATAATAATGTGTCAATATCGGCTCATCAGTTAGGACACACGTGCCACACGAATGCAAGAGGGTAACAAGAGGGGACACTGCGTGGGGATGGTGTGCGCTTTCTGCTCAGTTCTTCTGGAAACCTAAAACCGTGCTAAAAACACGCGCCTCTAACTAAAACCACCCCCACCACCACCGCGGGCACTCACCCTCGTGGAATGCAGTGTGCAGGAAAGAATCATCAAAGAGGAGGCAGCGTCCTTCCGCCCAACACTGGGGCTCTCCCCCCACCACCAGCTCGCAGCCACTGGGAGTTTTGAGACCTTTGGGGCAAAAGGAGAGAAGAGACAATGAAGGCGGGTGGGATCGGGGATGGCCTGTTCTGGGGTGAGCTCTCCATTCCAAAGCACCGGGCCTTCTGCCTCACCCCTCGGGGCCCTCTTTGGGGGCGTGGGGGGAGGGGGTACTTCGACCGGGCAAATACTGGCTGCGTACCCTGAGCGTCACTCCCTGGAGGCACGCATTCCTCCACTGGCTTAATGGGTCTGGGGTCAGGGGCTTCTCGGTCAAGGCTCTGCACCGCACTTGTGAGACCCCCGAAGCCCATCTGTGGGACCCCCCCGTTAATCGAGGGAGGCCAGGCTCATAGCCCGCCGTGTCCCGGAACTCTGTTTACTACAGCCCTGTCTCTAGGGCTGTTTTGGCAGAGTTGAAACAGTGTCCTCCTCTTTGGGTTCCGAGCTTTAGACGCATTTTGGGGCCTGAGGATAGCACGTTCTTAGTCTCAGTTCCTCCGGCCTCCCTCCGAGAAACTGGAGGTCGCCCCTAAGGAAACGCCTGAGCTCCAAGAAGAAAGAGGCCCACACCTTCGTAAGGGGCCATATGCGCCCAACTGCACGCGGCCAGTGCCCAGCTCGGTGCGTAACCCCAGAAAGGGGGCCTGGCTGAAATGCCACCGTGCGCGCACTTTCACATCCGAGGGTCTCAGGAAACACTTGGCCCCTGTCGGTGCACGGACGTCTGTCAATGAAGGCACCACTGCAGCCATCTACGATTCACAAGAGGCGGCACTGGCCCTACGGCTCTCAAGAAGGATGATTTGGGAGGAAACCGGCAGAGGGGGTGGGATCGTGGTGCTCCGGTCTGTCTTCGGTGACTACTGGGACAGCCGTGGCCCAGAAGTAATTGGCACCCCCCAATTCAGTCTTCAGGACAAGCATGAAACAGAGTTCTCTCTAACGGAGCATTTTAACTCACCCCTTGAACCAGGAATGGATGGCTGGAAACACAGGTAGAGTAGGAAGTCACACAAAGAGGCTGCACGGGGGAGTGACAAGGACATGGGACCTGAGGCCAGATGACTGGCTCTGACCCCTATGTGCTGTAGGACTTCGGGCAAGTCACTGAACCTCTCTGAGCCAGGGCCTCGTCATCTGTGAAGGGGAACGTCAACACACTTGCCTGCAGGGCCGCGTGACCAAGAACGTAACGCCTAGCTGGGCGCAGGTCCGGGCTAAGTCGGCACTTACAGACATCACCTCACCCATTTTCCAGATGGAGCCACCGAGGTTCAGAGAAGGTCAGTGACCTGCCAGAAGTTGCAGCGCAGTCCTTGCGGGACCTGGGATTTCAATCCAGATCCTCCTGGCTCCGAAGAACGGGCTCTTGTAACACTGGACTCTGTGGCATAAATACTAGTCACCCATCAGGAGTTGTGGTATGAAAGGGACCCTTCTTGTAGTTATGTTTTGACTACGGATGGGACACTTCATTGAGTGACGGACTCCGGAACCAGGCTCTCCCATCTCCTGCTACTGTTAATGGCTAGGGAGGGGGCGTTAGGGTTGTGATGGGCCCAGATGGAGAGGGCCCTCCAAGCCACGTCTCTCCACGGGTGCCCCTCACTGAGGGGACTGGCCGCTCTCTGCAGAGACAGTCCACCCCAGGCCTTCGGAAAGCAGCCCTCCTTCCTCTGGGCCACCGAATGATTCATCAGCAGTCACCACGGTACAAGAGAAAAATGGCCTGGCTTGCTGGCTTGCCAGCCCCCTGCTCACTTTCTTCGGCTTCTCCCCTTCACTCTGGCCCCGCCTTCCGGCGGCCCACCATTCCTGCCTCCTGCCCACAAACCAGCTCAGTTGGCAGAAATGATCGATACTCCCAAGACAGAGTGTTCAGGTGGCTCTCGGGGACAGAGACAGGCCCCGCGTCCTCCAGCGCAGGGCTTGCTGCTTTGTCCCCAGCCACTCAGCGAGGCAGGTCAAGGGCAGAGAGAGGGCTCTGTCCACCACCGGCCCCCACTTGAGGATGCTGAACAGGTGGGCAAGGCGAACACCAGCTGGTTCCACCCAGCCGGCCGGCCAAGAGATCCAACAGCGTGCACACGGGAGGCGACGAGAGTCTAACTGCTTATTTGCTAGTGTGAATGGGCTGAACACCGTCGTGCATTTTCACCTGCCCTTTCCTGAGGGTTGGCCATGTGCAAGGACAGCAGCCTCCCCAGTAAATCTGCCTAGTTGGCATCCGACGGTGTTTACTGGAGGTCTGCGGCGGTGCGGTCGGGACGCCCCAGCCCTGTGCTATGTGCTGTGTGACACGCTCAGTGACAGCTCGTCCCAGGGCTCTACGTGGGGTCCAGACGGAGTGACGCCACCTCTGGAGGCGGCTCCACGCCGTCCTTGGCAAATGAAGAGACTGGGCGAAGGCGGGGCAGTGGATGGGGTTTCAGCTGTCGGCAGGGACAGCTCCCTTCACCCGACCCAGACGGAAGGCAGGAAAGGGGACAGAGGTTGGCGAGTCAGGAGCTCGGCTCAGGGACTCCAGGTGCTTCCTGCACTTTAGCCAGGGAAGCTGGCAGAGGCGTGACTGCCAGGGACGTACCCGTCACTCTGCTTCCGACCCTGTTCTCCGGACTCCCTCTCTGGCCACCGACAAGGTCATGTGAGCCTAACACACCTCTGTTTCCTTCCGGGGTGGATGTGAACGTGGGCATGACAGTGGAAAGAAGGAAATGCTGAGCAAACCCGACGCGGAGCCTGCCCCGGCCGTGGGGGAGCAGCCACAATCCAGCGGGACCTCTTCCAAGGCTGCTGGCTGTCCAAGGGAACATGACACGGCCCAGTTTTGCTGGTGGCGAGAACGAGCTGAGCTGAGGAGGGAACGACAGGTCCTAACGAGGGCCCGCGTGGGCACGGCTTATACACACGCATCTACTGCGCGGACGCACGAGAGGCATTGTGGCCCCCGGCCCTTGCTACTCAACGCACCTGCCTGGATTCTGTATCAATCCACAAACGCTCCTCCCTACGTGTCACTCGGAAGCTCCTTAAAAACCTACAAAGGCAACCTTCAAACAAGAAGCCAGCACCGCTCCCCACGGCCCATAGCCTCAATTCCGAAGCCCCGCACGGGGGCCCTCCGTGGTTTGCTCCCACCCAAGCGGTCTAACCTCAGCCCGACTGTGGACTCCACAGCAAGCCATGTGCGGGGGGAGTGGGGGAAGGGGGGTGGCTCCTCCACTCCACCCTGGTGGCCCTGTGAGCTCTGACCCGAGTGTGCCCCGGTGTCTTGCACAGTGACTTTACTGAGATGGCTTAGGTGACCGCCTCACCTCCTGGATCAGGGTGCCCTTTACCTGACTGCCCTCCACCTGCCAATACCTCACACGTGCCACTTCTAACCCCCCAGAGAGCCCCCAGGCAGGTATTTTTACCTCCGTTTTCTCCTTGAAAACGGAGGCTCGGAGTTTCGGGGTCCTGGCCAAGATCACTTGGCAGGTGGGGCCCACAGAGCGGAGTCCAAGTGTGCGTGCTTCCGAAACCTGATCATTTCCCACGGTTTCCTGAGGCCCCACGTCTTAGGCAGCCTTTCTTACACTGCCCAACACGTGTTTCATCACAAAAGGTAGAGCTGCCTCTTCTGCAGCCGCAGAAGAGCCTATTTAACCCGGTCAACGATCCTGGGGAGGTAAGTGCCGCCTCCCCATTTTACGGAGGAGGAGACTGAGGCATGGAGGGACTCAGTTACTTGCCCAGAGTCCCACAGCTGCCCACGGAGCCAGGACACCTCCTCTGGCGCGCCTCGGCCCTGCCCTTTGCTCTTGAAATATTCAAGGAGTCAACTGTTCGAATCTAGCTGTTTTTCGAAGCGGCAAAGCCCTCTGTCCAAGTCACCTCTTCCTCGGGATCTCCACACGGGGGCAGGGGAAGCAGAGGGCTCTGGGGGAAGCAGGGCTGGAGGGCCAGGCGTCTGGCTCAGGTGCCCCCGGGCAGCCCCGGGCTTCCTCTGCGGGACACTCATGAACCCCCTGCTCCAGCCTAGGTCGCCCCCCCCACCCCCACCCCCGACGTGTGCTCTCTCTTCCTCCATTCTGGAGCCAAGGCAGCCCGCGCCGCAGACTTCCCGAAGCTGGACCCTGCGCAGGCTCTGGGCGCGCTCCCCCAGTCTGGGATGCTAACTGGTGGCGCCTTTGCCCCGGTAACCGTCCCATTAGAGACTCGCCAGGAACGGGGCATCCTGGGGAAGTGACAACAAGGAGTTGTTGTGAAACCCCCCTAAAGGGTGAGTCCTCGCTCCACATGACTAAAGGCTCCTCTTAGCAGACCCTCAAGGCAACTCTGCAGGGGACGATCTTTTCCCCTCCTCTTTTCTAAATGAGGAAACTGAGGCCCAGAGAGGTGAAGTGACTTGTCCAAAGTAACACAGCTAGCTGCCGGTGGGGCCGGGATGCAAACACACGGCCACGCAGACTCTGACCTTGTTCTCGAAACCACCGCCACGCAAGTTACCGATTTCCCCGGAAGCGGAACAAAATCAGTGTTAACACCAAGCGTGACTTCGCCCTCCATTCGGGAGGCGCTAAGGCATCGTTCACGGCCTCCCAGATGTCATCATGAACCTCAGCGACTGTTACGACAGCCTTTGGCTCTAGAGATACGCTGTCCAATACGGTAGCCGCTAGCCACGCGGGCCGATTTAAATTCAGATTAAGTGACAAATTCTGCTCCTCGCCTGCACTGGCCACATTTCCAGCCCTCAACGGTCACCCGCTGCTAGTGGCTTCTGTACTTGGACAGCGCAGATGGAGACCATTGCCATCACCACTTCCGTCCCCCGGACAGAGCTTTCTCTGTATTACCTGTCGGGTAATACCGATCTCAAGTCCCCTTCTCGGCTCAATCTGTGCCGTGAGACACGTTTACATGCAACTCATCAATCTTTGATGGGACAGTGAAGAATGCGAAAAGGCACAATTCTGGCTACCGAGCTTCTCGCGCCGCCTGGGCCGCCGTGAGTCAGGAGACCCCCGTCCCTGCGACATACCTAAATGGCATCGGATGCGTATGTTGGTGGGTCCGTAATGCTCCGTTATCACAGTCCCGGGGCTCAGCACGGAGATGCACGCGTTCCCAAAAACATTGTTCCCAATACAGGTCCGAAGGCTTCCGAGCAAGCGGTACGTCCGTGGGCACTTCCTGCAGTTCCTGGGAACGCAAACCCCCTGGTTGACCAAGTAAAAGGTGACCCACTCCCCGCTGGAGGTGCTGTTCATTTTCCATCCTTGCGGGAGGCTGCAGTTTGAGAAAGCCTTGTAGAGAGTCTCAAACTCGCACAGGATGGTCTGGAAGTTCCGTTCCAGCAGCTCCACGTCGTGCTTCTGCGCGTCCCGGGCGAAGTATGGCGTGGTGGGGAGGTCGGGCAGGAAGAAGACCTCGGGCTTCTGGATGGAGGGCCGGCTGTTGAGGTAGCGGCCCTGCTCACGGATGCCCTTGTGGATGCGGCCCATGCCGGACCACGAGTACCGCTTGGCGTACTCCTGCAGATTGTGGTAGAGCTTCTGGTTGAGGCCCTCATTGTGGGCGCAGCGCACGCACTCGGGCGACTGGCAGTACACGTACCCGTTCTGCAGCCCGTTGGCATCCGCACCCTGCATCAGGGAGTTGACGGACACGTAGGGCCGGGGCTGCTCCCGGCCCACGTGGTAGCAGTACCACACGAACAGGACCAGCAGGCAGGCCACGGTGACCACGGCGGTGGTGTCGCAGTCCCGCACCGACTGGATGCCCGTGGCGATGCAGTCTCGCAGGCCGTCCAGCGACCAGCTCCAGGCCACCAGCCACTCGAGAGACATCTTGGGGGGGCGGGTTGTCGGTGGGGGTGCGAAGCAAGGTCAGGCAGTCAGTCCTCGGGGGTCCTGGGGGCACCCACACCATGCAGCTTAGCACGGGGGGGATGGGG